ACCACCAATTCGCTCGAATTTAGCCACAAGTTACTTAATTACATCAATAAACGCTAAATGAATCAACCCCAATGCATGAAAATGAGCTTTTCTAAAGTTTTGCCCAAAAAGTCAAAAATCGTCCCCGGGCCCACATGGTCAAAACCCGAGGTACGAACCAAAACCCGATTACCCATTCCCCCACGAACCCAAATATATAATTTATTTTGAAATCGAACCTCAAATCGAGGTCCAAATCCCCAATTTTTGAAAAACCTAAGTTCTACCTAAAACACCCAATTTCCTCCATGAAAATTATTGATTATGAGTTGAAATTATGTTAAAAGATGTTAATGATTGAAAGAAATCAGTTAAAATTAACTTACAATCGACTTGGAAGAAGAGTTGTTCTTGAAAAATCGACCAAAGGAGTTTGTGTTTTGAAAAGATGTGAAAAATGAGTTTAAAATCGCCTAAGTGTAAATGTTGCATGTCTCAGATGTGGGAATTGCGAATTGTGAACCCCAACCTCTGGTAGCTTGGATATTGCAAAATAGGGCTCGCATTTGCGAACCCTTCCGGGAAAACTGGACTTTTGCATTTGCGATCAACATGTCGCATTTGGGACTTGGGAATTGCGACCACAGCATCGCATTTGCGATCACCGGCCAAATGGGAAACTTCGCAATCACGAAGATAATATCGCATTTGTGAGAGGGAGTTGGCCTGGCCTTTCTTCGCAATTACACAAACCGCTCACATTTGCGATATCGCATTTGCGAGCAAGGCTTCGCAAATGCGAAGCCTGCAGGCCTGCTATGCATAGCTGAAAACCTACAATTTTCTAAGTTAAAAATGCACCCCGTGGCCTATCCAAAACTCACCCGAGCCCTCGGGGCTCCAATCCAAATATATACACAACCTCAAAAAATATACTACGACTTATTCGTGTAATAAAATCACTAAAATAACATCATGAACATCGAATTAAAACTCAAGATCAATGAAATTTCTCAAAACTTCTTTAAACATCAAATTTTGCATTTAAGGTCCGAATCACGTCAAACGGATTCTGTTTCTTACCAAACTTCATAAAATTATATTAAATCATATATAAGACCTGTATCGGGTGCCAGAACTAAAATACGGACCCGATACCAGCACGTTCTAATCAAAATTCATTTCTAAACCTTATGAACAATTTCAGAAAATAATTTTTTTCAAAAATTCATTTCTCGGGCTTGGGACCTTGGAATTCGATTCCGGGCATACGCCCAAGTCCCCTATTTTCCTACGGACCATCCAATCATGGGTCCAGGTCCGTTTACCCAAAATATTGATAAAAGTCAAATTAATTCATTTTATAGTCAAAATTTATCATTTTCACAGATTTTTACTTTTAAGTTTTCCAGCTATGCGCCCGGACGGCGCACGCAAATTGAGGTGATGCTAAAGTAAGCTTGTAACTTATAGTTGACAGGCTTAGTTAGTCTTTTTTATTTATTTGATTTTGATGTAATAACAGGACCGCGGACCGGAATCTCGACGGAACGACACCTCAATCGACTCTCCACCTCGGTATACTCCATCACTGTTCCTACTTCTGAATTATACGTGGCATGATTCCTTATTCGCCAAAGATATGTAGGCAGCTCAAATACCAAGGCTCGATCACATTCTCTTTTATTTTAGCTTTTGGTCTCTCTAAATAAGTGTCGGGTCAAAAAACCTATCTCGTCGCTCTTTGTCTGAAAACTCTTCGTGTTTCCACTTAAAGAGGGGCAGTTGTAGACATATGATTTTTGACCCTCCCCGAGATTTTACATATTTTGGCATTAAATACTTAGTTTATGTCTAATATAATTATTTCAATTAGTTTTGACTCTTTTACTTTATTTTGTCTTTAAAAAAAAGTTAAAATTACAAAAATATTTTCTTTATTTAGCTAATTGATTATCTAGCTACTTTTAGTTTATATACCTTTCATAAAATTAAAAAAAATACAAAAATAGTAACTTATTTTTATTTTAATATGATATTTTATAATATCAAAAAATAGATGATTTTGCATTTTTAGATAAATTTTAGAAGGAAGTACCTAATAATTTTCATATAATACATTGAGGTTTATTGAGTCTAGTTTTGAATTGATTTCAAGGAATTTAGCCCATTTTTTAAGCCTAATTTCGGATATTCTCATGCCCAAACAAGACAAGTCCAATACCCTAAAAAACCCTTCTTCCTCACCTTTAATAGACACAAGACCTAACCTAGAGAAGAGAACACAAATCAACCGTTTCCTCTATTCCCTCTCAATTTTTTCTGTGGCTTAGACAAGAGCTGCCCACCCCCTAAGGATTACATACACACACAGCCGCAGCGCACAAAAGAGAAGAAAAGAGCAACCTTCAGATCTCTTCTTCAACAACATAAAAATCAGTTGTCTCCACCCCTTAATTAAAAACCCAGCCATTGAACCCCCCGCCCCCCATTCTCCAACATAGTGGCAAGAAACACACACAAAAAAAAGCATAAGATGGCATACTTAATCCCTCCAAAAAATGAAGTAGCGGAACTCCTTCTTCACGGCAAAAAGTATCCATCGCACCACCTTAATCAGCCTTCAAAACCACTATTTTTAGCTCAAAAGTCCAACTAAAACAACTTTAAAAAAAAACTCGCCAGCAAACCATCCCTTGAATTTCTATTTCTAGTTCGAAACATGCCAAGAGTAGTCGAGTGAGTCAGAAAATCAGAGGTATCATTGGAGGTTGCGTTTGAGGTTCCCGTGTTGCTACATTTCTGTTTGAACTCCGTTGCTTGAGCTTATTCGGCGTCGATTTCATCTGTTGTAACTTTATTGGAGGAGCTTGCTAATAAAGGAAATTTGTTGTTGCTAAAGGTTCAATCTCTTATCCCAAGTCTCTGTTTTACATATTTGTTGGTGTTGTGCTTAGATATGGTTCTGAGTTATTATGACGAAATTCTCGCATGAAGTACCTCACTGCCAATTTGCTTGAATTAACTATGCGCTGCTTGGATGATGACTCCGTTGGTTTTATGCTTTGATCTTTTATGATAATATATAGGACATGGCAAATTATTCCTAACTCCATGTTATAATTTCTTGATTACTACTAGTCCACTATTTTAGCTTTGTCTTCTTATAAATGATCTTATTTCCTTTTTTGGTCTTTTAAATGTGTTCTGTAATGTACATTTTAGTTAGCTTTAACTGAGTTTTTAGGAACGATATTTTGAAGAATAAGACAACCACACAATAAATTAGGTACCAATCTATATATATATATAAAGCAGGACCCAAAAATCCTAACGTGGCACCTCTTATCGATCCGTATATATATTTTTCCTTTTTCACAAATTTTGGGTTTTTTTCCGTATTTTACCTATTTATGTGCAATACTAAAAAAAAGAGGAAAATTGCGTCTCTTCCTCTTATTTGTTCCAATACGGCAATTCACCGTTCCACTCCTCTTCTAAGGCTATATTGTGGGCCGGGCCCAGCCCGAGACCGGCCTAGGACCGCTAGCAAACGGGCCAAACGGGCCGGTCCCTAACGGTCCTAAAAGCACACTGTGGGCCGATCCACCCAAAATAGACCGCGAGCCCGGGACCGGCAGGCGGACCTGGTCCAGTTCAACCGGGCCAAACGGCTTTTTTCATAAAAAAAAATTAAAAAAAAGTCAACGGTTAGAAGTTTAAAAACTAGTCGTTGGCCTGCCATTTTAGCCGTTTGGCTTTTTAAAAAATAGCTATTTGGCCCCCAAACTTTGTTTTAACCCCAAACTTTTTATAATCACACTTTTTCCCTATTCTCAACATTAAATACCCCCTCATTCTTTCATTTTTACTTACAAAATCATCAATCTCTCTCATTTCTCAAACTCAAATTGAAGTATTCAAGTCTTCACTCATCTCTCATTTCTCAAACTCAAATTCTTAATTCAAGTTAAATCCTGCCCGGTAATTGTAGATTACACCCATTTGTTTTGGAACACTTTAATGTGGTAGAAGAAAATGAAGAAGTTTATATAATAAAGTACAAGAACTGTGGTTNATATATATATATATATACGTCTTAATAGAGCTAATGTATACAATCATATATTAGGCAATATACTATATACAACAATATACTAACTACTAAGTGTATATTATATAAGCTATATTCGAATTTCGACATAACATTAGCTATAAAATATATATAAGCTATATAATTTAACACAAAATATCTCAAATCAACTTAAAAGCATAAATTGTGTGTTGTCTTGTCAGTCTGAAAAGCTGATCGGCTCCAAAAAGGCTGCTTTGTTTCAAAAAAAGTGAATATGTATAGGTGGTGGTGGACTACTTTTTGTGTATTGTCTTGTCGGTTTGAAAAGCTGATCGACTGCAAAAAAACTATTTCGTTTCAGAAAAAGTGAATATGTATAGGCGGTGGTGGACTACTTTTTGTGTGTTGTCTTGTCGGTCTGAAAAGCTGACCGACTGCAAAAAAGCTGTTTCGTTTCAGAAAAAGTGAATATGATAGCGCGGTACAATACTACATTTTGTGTGTTGGCTTGTCTACAAATAACGGGCGCATTCTAGTTATTTTCTGCTCTTAACTATAATTAATAGCAAATATTTTCCATAAAAGCAAGGTTTTTTCTGTACGCTTTAACAAATGTCTGAACCCCTTTATGTGCCAAGGTGCGAGTGCGGCAAAAAATGCATGATGCAAGACTGTTGGGATGATGGTGAAGTTGGACGCCGCTACTAGGCGTGTATGAACAAGTTTTACAGTGTTCTCGATGAACCTGTTTGTAATTTTGAGGTATGGATTGATGAACCTTGTCAGCAGGAATACTACAAAGAAAAGTTGCAGTATCTTCGTTGTTTGTGTTTGAAGCAGTGGGAAAGAGAGCGACAATCCAAACGAGAAGTTGCGGAGTTGAAGGTGAAACTCAAAGAGGTGGAAGAAGAAAAAAATAAGCTGGAAGACAAATTTAAGTGGTTGGAGCAGAGAATACTAGGCGGTCGTGACTAAACAATGACATGTACGTGTTGAGCCTAGTAGTGTATTTTTATGTTTCCCGTGTCATGTGTTTTCATTAATTGTACTTAATTTATGTTATGTTAAGTTTCTATGTTTGTGTTTGTGTTGTACTGTTAAAATAAAGAAGAAACGGGCCTTGACTATTTTTTAAGAAAAATTTTATCTAAGACAATTTCTTGTAAATTATATAGCTTATATATATATATGTATATGTATATATATATAGCTTATATATATATATATATATATATATAATTTACAATAAATTACTTTACATAAAAAAAATTCAAAAAAAAATAGCCCGGAACACTTAGGCCCGTTGGCCCGGCCCGTTTAACCCGGTACCATGTGGGTTTAGGCCCTTAGTGGGTCGGTTCCACCCTCCAAGACCGCTAAGCCCGAGACCGTTTGGCCCGGAACCGTCAGAGACCAGCCCGCTAGAGCCCGGGACCATTTGGCCCGACCCGTTTAGCCCATTTAGGCCCGGCCCACAATACAGCCTTATCCTCTTCCAGTTCCATTGAAACGCTTTCAGCGGATTCTTTCTCTTCTTTACTTACTTCAACACAGGTAAATCCCCTTTCTCTATTTCTGAGATTTTTGGGTTTTCTTTCATCTTTTCCTGGTATTTGTGTGAATTATATCTAATATACTCTATTTCCATTCTTGATTTTAGGTTAATTGTTGCAATCAAATTTGCTTCTTTTGGCTATTCTTAAGATTATTTATGTGATTCTTTAATCTTTGACGGAATATTAATAAGTTGCGTTCTTACACTTTGAGGACTTTAGTTTCAATTATTGACTTTTCTGAAAATGTCCTGCGGTCTAACGGACTTAAGTGTCAGAGCCTTCCACTCCTCCATTTGTTCTACCAAAAGCAAAGACGAAAAAGGAATAGAGGAAAAGGAAAATTTGGACGGATCTGTTGCCGGAGATGTAAACAAAATGTCGGAATGTTTGATAATTGTCCATAAACGAAATGTCCGGAGAAAGGAAAAGTTGTACCAAAAATCTCAAAAAGTCCGGTATTTGTAGAAGAATTTCCTTTCAAAACTTTATGACCTTTGAAATCTATTTAGTTCTATTCCATATGGAAAATTTTCATAGCCCAAAATTGAAAAAATTAATTTTTCTTAGAACTACTTTTTCTGATTAGTCTTTGTCACTTCTGCTGCAGCATGAAGATCGAAAATGCCGGTTGTTCAAACTTCACCCGCATTATGGTAAGTGTCACGGGGTGATTTTAGTCAGTCAAAACTCACACCCGCGCGGCAATCAAGTCGTACACTTGACTCAGCCTTTCCCAAACACTTAGCCAATTTTCGCGCACCTTTGGCCTAAACGAGATTTAGACAGCAATTCCAAATAAGAACACACACATATACGGGAAAATCCCAACCTTTGCATTGATGTAGAAAATATACAAAGGACCCTCACTTTGCTATGAACATAGTCCGCTCACAGCCCACTTTTTTGACATAGAACACAAGTCGTTCTTGTCAACACTAAGATCTGCCCATGCCAAACCTTAGCCCCTTTTTGAAACAACTGAAACCCTCACGTTTCACTCTTGTTTCCCACTTAGAATTTCTCACGAAATTCCCCACATTCACTCCTTACTTCTGCCTAAGTCACAAAGGTCCTATTTATAGAATATAGGCAGCCCTTAGACTTGGCAGCACATGACACTTGTTGTCTACAGCTTTTGCCACTTGTCGGACTAAGACTAATTCTGCTCCTAACATGTAGTTGACATCCCCAACTAATTAGGACACATTATACACGAAATGGGAACATTATACAAGCATGATCAGATCATGGGACAAAGAGGTTATGACAAGGTAACCGCCAACTACTTTCCATGTGCATTGCATGTGCCATTCTTCACTTGGCCAGCTGATTCGTGCCCAAGGCTGGCATTGCGCCCAACCTTGGCACATCTTGACATTGCTTCCGCGCCAATGCCTTGCCCGCATCCGCTGCCTGTGATTTTGCCGCACATGCCCGACGCCGCTGCCGCCCGCACACTGTCTTGGCCCAAATCTGCCTTGCTCATGTCAACCTTCATTTCCCTCGTGCCATTGCTTGTATTTTCCTTCACATAGCTTTGCCTTAGCTATTGAAAGCCTTTTCCATCATCCCGCATTTCCGTCTTGTCTTAGCTTAGCCCGCACTTAGCTGCCACAACCCAAAGTGCCATGCCCCTGACTTTGGCGCGCATGCCGTGCCATGCCGCCCTAACATTGCCCACACAGCTTTGTCAAGCCTTTGCCAAGCGCACCTTGCCTGTCCCAAGGTCTTGGCCCATACTTGCCTACAACAGCCCTCAATGACAATGTCTTGTCCGTCTTCCGCATGATCGTTTTGCCCGCACATGGGCCAATGACAAGGCCATCACGCCCAAATCCTTGCCACAGCCGTGCCACGCCCGATGACAAAAAGTCAGGCCCTAACAGTAAGCCACCTTTGCTAGAGTCTTTGAATTCTTTTTATTCAGTCAATCAATTACATCTCAATCTCGAAATAGCTGAGGTCAATTAGATAATTATTCTATTGAACTGTTATACTATACATATTACATAGGTGCATTGAATTTTTACTCAGAATATCTGTAAAGTTTAACTTAAATCCATTTTGATTAGTCTCAATCTCTTTGGTTTTAATGTCGTGATATTGGTAATGGACAAAAACAAGGAAATCTTCTAGATACACTTCAAATTCGTACAAATTTGAACCTTTCAATGCAGAAACCTTACATCTTCTATGATGGTCGGTGCATTATGGATGGTGATCTCAGTTCATTGAACATTTTGATTTAAACGTATTTTCCACAAAATAAGAATATTTTTGCTTAGCCTCATGTGAGTCCTGCTTGCAAACTTGAATTCTTTCTTCTTTTCACCATCAACCCAAAATTCTGTTATGTGTCTGAGTAAAATACAAGTCTTAGAGTTTATCAGAAAAAGAAAAAAGGTAGAGGTCAAAGAAGAATCGAGAAGGACAAGTAAAAATGTAGGACTCTGTTTGTGATACATATCTAATATGCCCTTTTTCCTACATTCAATGGAGAATTGGGTGTGGCAGGTCTTCTATGCAATCTCTACTTCTGTTAGCAAAACTATGTACAGAAGTACTCTTGAACATTAACTTTCATTTCAAAGCATCTAATCGTATCTGATGAGATCGAGCTGCGTGTTTTTGTGCTATTATTCTGAAGGATTGTAACTTTTTCTCTGCTGTCACTATGTTTGGTTGAAACAGACTACCTTCGGAAAGAAGGAATCGTATGGTTTTGCTTGTGAGCTCTATATATCCTTCCTTTATTCTAGACAAAAATTGACATATCAAAATACTTGATGTCAGGAATCTCACTGACGTCTCGAAAACTAAACAAAGTGATTGCTCGGCCTTGGAAGATCATCCTTTTTGGGAGGACATTATCTGTTATTACATTCACTCTTCAACCAAGGATAGTTGCTCAGGAGTTTCAACATCTTCTGTGGAATTTCCTAGCTAATAATTTACTTGCTGAAAACGATTTCTATGTTGTCATTTTCTCTATCTTTTCATCATTCTTTTTATCTTGAGAACCTTATAGTTATTTAAGAGTATGAATATGTTGTTCCCAAATCTTGTATGCTAGTGGAGGAAGATATAGGATAAATGTACTTTTGAATAAGGAAGTGGGAGCTTTATCCATAAATTTGTGATTAAAATTTGATCACCGAGCAAAACCTTTATGGTAACCTTTTGTATCAATGAGATTATTGTTTCTGTTTGTTTCCATATTGTGCTATTATTTTCTTTTAATGCTGTCTTTCTGGATCTCTCTGTATTATTTTGATTGTTGGAAAAAAATTGTTGAGCATGTGAAAATATTGTTTTGTTATTTTGTTTTTTGTGTAGGAAACATATATTTTGGTTTAGTTTGTCATCTTTCAAAGAATTGAAAGTACGACATGTTTTTTTTGGTTCATAGAAAATACAGTATATCAAATGGTTGATAGCCATCTCTAATAGTTTTATCGAGTATATTTTCTCACTTTTAATAAATGTTGCTAATTAATACTCCTATTTTATATGAAAAGTTTAAATTGTTGTAGTTTTAATACGATTGTTTTTGTTACCTTTATACTGTATGGTTATTTTTTCTTTTAATTTATATATTTAATATTTGATTTATTAGTTCACCTTTATAACTCACACCTTTTCATCTTCTACTCTCTATAATACACTTAACGCTCTCATAGTTTGGTATTGCTAAAAGGAACAAAACAACTGGGAGAGCTTGGTAGGATGGCCAAAATATATATATATATATATATATTTCCTTTCTGAATTTGTTTGTTTTTAATTAATACTGTAGATGTTATCATTGTTAACGTGAAATTAGTTATATGTTGTGTGGAGCGTTAGAGCTAATTAATCAAAAGAAGTATTTTTATTTGTGATTTAATCTACCTTAGAAATTAATTTGTGTATGCATACACGAAATTTGTTCTTCTGCCTTTACCAATTTACTAAAAAGATCAATTAAGTATCTTGTACATAAAATTTTAACGACCAAGCGAAGCACGGATAATATCACTATTTTTTCCTATAATTAGGAATAGAATATAAATGATACCGACTATCATATTAAATCAAGGGGTTCAAATACCATCGCACTCACTGTTCCTTTGTAGCTATAGTACGAAATTAGCATAAATATATTTGAGCTAAAATCTGATTGTTTTCCATTTTTTCAGTAATTATTTATTATTTAATAGATTTAAGTGGGTCAATGTTACTAGAGGCACAATTTAGACTATATCTTATATAAAAGTGATTTATTTAATGGGTTGGAACTCAACTATTAACTTGCATATTTGTTCTTAGTTGCTATTGTATTCCTAGTTCGTTACATTGATTTTGAGAGTTAATTTGAATAATTTAGTACGCAGGTATCTTGGTTCAGATATAAATTAATCCATTTTTTTGATTAATAAAGAAAATTTCATAATAGATAATGTCAATAACTAAGTACTATATTTTTTCCCTTTTCACAACTATTCCATAATTCATGACCTCGCGATAATCCGAAACTTGGGAAAACAATTATAAATAATTGTTAGTATGCTTTAGGCGCATTTTGAATTTATTATCATGATTATGTACACGTTAGTGTGACATGATTACAGTTTCTAAAATGAATATTCGTAGCTTGCTTTAGGCGCCTGTTAATCAATTTATCATGATTGTATACACGTTCGCGTTATGATTTTCAAAATAAATCGAGGTATGTATTCACACAACTTCGGCCAAATTTTCTGTGACGACCCGGCCGGTCATTTTAAGAATTTACGCTCTGATCCCCTACTAACTGCTTTCCCCAAGTTTATTTCTGCTATTTTGATTTGTCGGGATGTTCGGTTTTGAGTTTCAGAGAGTTTTGGGATACTAAGTCCCTAAATGAGAGCTTAAGTGTTGGAAAGTTGACCGTAGTCGAAACAGTGTGAAGATGGTCTCGGAATGGAAATTCGATGGTTCCGTTAGCTTTGTTGGGTAATTTTGGGCTTAGGGGCGCGTTCGGATTGTGTTTTGGAGGTCCGTAGCTAATTTAGGCTTGAAATGCCGAAAGTTGAATTTTTGAAGTTTCCGGTTCGATAGTGAGATTTTGATCCGAGGGTCGGAATGGAATTCCGGAAGTTGGTGTAGCTCCGTAGTGTTTAATGTGACGTGTGTGCAAAATTTTAGGTCATTCGGACGAGGTTTGATAGACGTTTTGATCGAAAGCGTATTCTTAGAGTTTTTGAAATTCTTAGGCTTGAATCCGATGAAAAATAGGTGTTTTGATGTTGTTTTGACCGTTCCGAAGGTTGTAACAAGTTTGAATGATGTTTTAGGATTGGTTGGCATGTTTGGTTGAGGTCCCGGAGGCCTCGGGTGTGTTTCGGATGCTCAACGGGTCATTTTGGAACTTAGAGAAATTGCAGAAAATTGCAGCAGCCCAGTTATAGTTTCCTTCTTCACGTTCGCGAGTGGATTCTCGCATTCGCTAAGAGGAGCAGGGGCTGGGGGAGATTTAATGCTTTGTGTTTGTGAAGTTTCTCCCGTGTTCGCAAAGCTGATAGGTCTTGTACCTACGCGTTCGCGATGTGTTCTCGCGTTCACGCAAGAGGAGGAGACTATGCATCGCGTTCGTGACAAGGGCATCGCGTTCGCGATGAAGGAAAGCTGGACCAAGCGAAGTTGTGATTCGTGAACGTGAGGGTCCTTCCACGTTCGCGAAGAAGGAAATACCTGTGCAGAATATAAAATTTCAAAATCGAGGGTTTAGCCATTTTTATCAAAACTTAAGCTTGGGAGCTCGGATTTGAGCGAGATTTTGAGGGATTTCTAGAGATATCGATTGGGTAACGATTCTTAACTCCTTTTTGCTTGTAGCCCATTAATCCAAACATGAATTCATCATTTAATTTCGTATTATAGATGAAAATTGGGGAAAGGTTGGAAGAAAGTTCTTAGACCTAGAATTCGACTTTTGATTGAGAATTTGACCTTAGATTTGGATAATTTTAATATGCATGAACTCGAGAGGGCGTGAGGATTCTGAAAATATAAATTTTACCAGATTCCGAGACGTGGGCCCGAGAGGCATTTTGGTTATTTTACCTAATTTCGCTTATTAGCTTAGAATTTCTTTGTAGAATCAGTTACTTAAAGTGTTATTTACATTATGCAATTGAATTGAATAGATTTGGGTCATTTGGAGTCGAGTACTCGTGGCAAGAGCGTGGTTTCGGGTTGATTTTAAGCCAGTTCGAGGTAAGTGGCTTGTCTAACCTTGTGTGGGGGACCTTCCCCTTAGGATTGATATATTTGGTAATTGAAATGCCTTGTACGTGAGGTGACAAGTGCGTACTTGTGCTAATTGTTGGAAATCCGGTTTTCTTTTAGTAATTACTAGTTTGTTTCCTTTCCTGTTTCTATTACTTGCACTATTAAGCTTGTTGTTAGCTTAGGAAAGTATGTCTAAGTGACTTAATTGCTTTATTTGCTCAACCTGCCTTACTTGAATTTTGTGCAGCATGCTAGGCTAGAATCACTTGTTGCCTTAATATGAAACTTTGCCCTTTCTGTATATTTTTCCTGTTGCTGCTGTGTATTTATTTTGGGACTATGGATGTGGGATTCCGGTAGCTCCCCCTTGTTTGTTTATTTTGGGACTACGGATGTGGGATTCCAGTAGATCCCCCTGCACAGTTATATGGAACTACGGGAATGCACCTGGTAGATTCCCCCAGCACTGGGTATTTACATTTGGGACTACGGAACAGGATTTCGGTAGATCCCCGCGCACTATGAGTTGGACCACGGGACGGGATTCTGGGAGATCCATTGGATATGTACATATGGGACTACAGTCAATATCCTAGAAGATCCTCGATTGTTATTATTGGTGTTGAGCTGTATTTCTTTTCCGTGTTTACCTTGCTTCGGTATAGTTGTTGTTGTCCTATACATCCTGTGTTATTTTACTGCTGTACTTATTATATTGTTTTGTTGTATACTTTTGATCCTTATATTTTATTTAATCACAGTAGGGCCCTGACCTTCCTCGTTACTACCCGTCCGAGGTTAGGCTTGACACTTACTGAGTACCACTGTGGTGTACTCATGCCCCTTCTGCGCATGTTTTTCATGTGCAAATCTAAGTACTGTGACTCAGTCCTATCACCCGTGAGGCGAGGCGACTGCTCTAGAGACTTCGAGGTACATCTGTCGCGTCCGCAGACTGAGGAGTCCGTTTCTATTCTAGCTTTAAACATTTGCCCTTCTGTATTTCTTTCCCTTGATAGATATTCTGGAGTTAGACATTGTAGATATCCAAAGGCTTGTAGTTCCGTGAGTTTCCGGGTTTTAGGATAGTGTACTTGATTCTGAGAATGTTGTGTTGTATATGTCGAGCAGCATTTTAACTATTGTTTTCTTTCGGTTATTTTGGCTTTTAATTATTTATTCCGCAATTTTCGTTTATGTTCTGCATTTGTTAGGCTTACCCAATCGTAGAGATTAGGTGCCGTCACAATGGTTCACGGAGGGCGAACCGGGGTCGTGACAAGTTGGTATTAGAGCTCTAGGTTCATANCGGTAAGGAGACGTCTTTATTTATCTACGAGAGGTTATGTAACTGTTAGGAAAATTCCACTTCATTTTATTTCCTTGTCTGCGATATTTTGACATTACAATTCCTAACTTTTGTCTTCTATTCTCTTACAGATGGTGAGGACACGTGCTACCCGAGATGATCAGGCACTCGCGCCCCCTATTGCAGCTGTCAGAGACCGTAGCCGGGGTAGAAGCCGAGGACGCGCATGTGGTGCAGCCAGAGCACCTGTGCGAGCTGCCGCCAAGGTACCACTAGCAGTTCCAGCCAGAGTCTAGGCACCTGACACGCTTACTGCTACTACTACTTCAGCTCTTCAGGAGACTCTGGCACAGTTCATGAGCATGTACACCACTCTGGCTCAGGCAGGGTTGCTTCCCCTTGCTGCAACTACATCTCAGGTCGAGGGAGGAGCACAAACTCCCGCCGCCCGCACTCCTAAGCAGGGAGTGCATGTTGAGAAGGTCCCTGAGATTATTCCTGTACCGCTTGTAGTGGCAGTTCAGCCCGAGGACAGGGCAACGTCTTCCGAGGAGGAGGAGCTAAGGCTTGAGAGGTTCAAGAGGTACAAGCCTCCTGCATTCAGCGGTCTAGTATCGGAGGATGC